TTTCAAGCATAGACAATGTGAGGGTTGCCATTCGGGTGAAAAAGGAAATAACTACCGATGACGTAATCATCATGTAGAGTCCTCTACCCCCATGTCATCTAAAATAAGCAAAACAAAGATAGTGCTTACGTAATACTTGAACGGCCCCTTACATATTTAATTAACAATTAAGCCACTATAATATATAAGGCTCCCATGGTCTAGTGGTTAAAATCTTGTAACGGGAACCCAAAAACGCAGGTTTGAGCCTATCTTGGAACGAATTTTATTCAGTTTCCTATTACTATTCGAATTCCATAATTTATTTTTGAATTCTTTCACTTTTAATACAGCTAAACCCACATTGATTCACCCTGACGTACAGCCACTGAAATTTTATCATCCACTTTCATTCATCCCTCGACGAGGCCCCGCGCCCGTTTCGAAATTTGATACAATTTAGAGTTTTATTATTTGTCGAATGGGGGGATCCTGTTTCACGTAAGGGAATATGTATATCCAGAATTTCAAACGAGGAATTTTTACTTTACATATATTTCGTTTGTTGAGGTGGAAACGATCCGCACAGAGAGCGATTAGATCTGATGTTCGCCCAAAAAGAAATATACGTGGTTTCACGATAACGTATCGCATTTGTTCTAATAAAATATTTAAAAATCAATGAAGGAGATTGTTTGAAATCTGAAATGAAAACATAAGGTGGAAAATATGCATTAAACATACTATGCGTATATGCTATATATTGTTCTGTAGAAAACTCCGCCATTTTGAACACTTATTACCTATTGACTACATCTTTCGAAAAGTCTAATTGTGTTAATGCTGTAGTCAACCCTACATCAAGGGATTTTATTATGTGGTCACTGACATTTAAAAAAAGGGTAGTTGTACTAAATCCCTTTCTGAAACCAGACTGAGTATTACCAATAATACCATTTGTAAAAATATACTCGTACACTTGCTTACTAATTGTTTTTTCAAGAATTTTTGAGAAGTTTGGAAGAATACTTATAGGACGTAGATCGCTAAAACTTTCAGGATTTCGAATTTTGGGTAAGGGTTTCACTAAAGCAAATTTCCAAATATCAGGGAAATACCACGTTCTAAACAACAATTGTTTAAATTTGGTTTTAGTCCCTTTTACTACTGCTTGAGATGAAAAACAGAGGCGGTGATTTCATTGTTATCATCGTCACTTAACCTTCGGCAAACCAAAAATTATTATAGGGTGTTCACTTTTCTTTATTAACTATTAGTATCTTGATAATTCAGAATTTTAGCGTTATTTTTATCTTTTTTACCGTATATCTTTTCTGGACATCATCAGAATTCCGAACGCATATTCGTTGCTGAAATCGAGCACGTAACAGGTTACAAATTTTTATGTCAAATACTTCCTAGTAAAGTTACCCCATAATTTTCGAAGAGTCTTCATTTTACGGAACATTTACATACATATTATTCCCGGGACCGTGTATTTTATACTCGGGCGTACTTACACCGTGTTATTCAACGTCTTTCTTATTTATGTAAATTATTTGAAACAGCAACTTCATAAAAATGTAAATTGATACTAAATTAGGGCATTTTTACACGTCGGAATTCGCGATGGGGTAGATAAGATTTTCTACGAGATGTATCTACTAACTGAATCAGTAAAAGAGCGCAAGAAAATTATCTTCTTTCTTCTTCATGTAATAAATTTTACTTAAATAAGAAATAAAATATTCTGCCAAAGAGTTCAAATCAAGTCAGTTAAAATACTGGACAAAAAATCTTTTAGAGACAACAAATATTTTTTTTATTTATTTTACGGTGAGATTACAGAAAAGACTAGACTCGAATGGTGGTTAACTAAAGAAAAATTACTCCCAAGTAATCAGTTTAGATATAAAAAGGATATGGAACGATGGATGCTCTCTCTACTCTGACAAAACAGACAACTTACAACTCCAGATAAAGCGTAATAATTAACTTTATATGATCGCTTAGACCAGTGGTCGCCAACCTGTCGATCGCGAGCTACCTGTAGCTCGCGGAGGGAATTCTGGTAGCTCTCACAACGATTTTAATTTAAAAAATACAAACTGCAAAAATCAGAGAAGCTTCCGAAAATTGTCATAACATTAAACATAAACAGCGGCAACGTTGCGGTGAGCGATCTGCCACTGACGCCATCAAGCTAGAATCGGCTAGAACCGACCAGCCGGACCAGCGCATTAGTGTTCTAGAACGATCAGGATTGCTTTGAACGGGATAAATACGTATGGCGTGGCGACATTGCGTTTAGTTTAAAACTGAACGCGTAACCAACGTCCAGCGGTTGGGTTAGTAGAGAACAACAAAAAAAAATATTATGGCAAGCAGTTGTAAGAAGGTAAAGACATACCACTTTCATTCGGAATGGGAAGAACAATACTTTGTTACAGAAGTTAAAGATTAACATTTGTGTTTGTTATGTAATACTTCGGCCTCCGTTACTAAAAAAGGAAATATTGAGAGACATCATAAAACTGTACATTCTAATTTTGAAAAATCATTCCCACTACATTCTGCCGCCAGAAAGGAGAAACTGAAACAGTTAAAAAAGCAGTTAATTGGACAACAATCAATATTTTTAAGAACAGTCGACAAAAATAAGGCTGCAACTGAAGCATCGTACCGTGTGTCCCAGATAATTGCACAAAAAAAGAAACCTTATGAAGACGGGGAAATGATAAAACAGGCGTTTTTAGAAGCTGCTGATTCGTTATTTGCCAACTTTAGAAATAAAGACGAGATAGTTTCAGCTATAAAATCTATGCAACTTTCTGCTAATACAGTGATGAGACGTATAGAAGTAATGAGCAATGATATTTTTTTACAGTTAAGAACTGACTTAGATAACTGTGTTTATTTTTCACTTCAACTGGATGAATCAACAGATGTCGTTGACACTGCCCAGATGGCCGTGTTCGTCAGGATGGTTTTTAGTGATTTTACGATTAAAGAAGATCTTTTGAAGTTTATTCCACTGAAAGGACACACTACTGGACAGGAGTTGTTTTCTCATTTAAAAAATATTATTTCTTCCGAGAAAATTCCAATATCGAAAATGGTAGGCTTGACAACCGATGGCGCTCCAGCTATGGTGATTTGTGATATGGGTCTGGTGGCGTTATGTCGTAAAGATGAAACTTTTCCGCAATTTCTCTGTTACCACTGCATTATCCATCAGCAAGCATTATGTGGAAATTTCCTGAAACTAAACAACGTTATGAAACTGGTGGTAAAAATTGTGAACAAGATTAGAGCTCAAGCGTTACAAAGAAGATTATTCAAAACCTTGCCCGATGAAGTTAACTGTCAATACGGGGACCTACTCCTTCACTCTGAAGTCCGATGGTTAAGTAGAGGACAAAAGCTGAAACGTTTTAATGATGTCCTATCTGGCATAGTTCAATTTTTCAAACAACGCGATGAACCGACTCCGGAACTAGAAAATTCAATCTGGCTTAGAGATTTTGGTTTTCTCGTGGACAATATAGAGAAATTAAAAGAACTTAATTTGCAGCTTCAGGGGAGAGACAAAGAACTAGCGGAAATGATTTCTGATATAAAAGAATTTATCAAAAAGCTGGAGTTTTGGGAACAAAACCTAATTAACAGCGATGCCAAGCATTTTCCTATTCTTTCAGAAAAAATATCTCAAAATCCATTAGAACCCTATGACAGCAAATATCATGTAGAAATAGTTTCTACCCTGAAGAATAACTTCAAAAATCGTTTTAAGGATTTCAACGAAATGGCTTTAGTAGCGCAGTTTGTTGTTTCACCCTTTATGGAAATTGATATCCAACAGTTTGCAACTTGTGTTATGCAGAACTTTGGCGAAGACATCGCTGCAACAGAAATGAAAGTAATTGAGTTTCAAAATGATTTAGCCTTAAAATCGTTATCTCAAGTACCAAATGTATCTGGCCTATTGTAAGTAAAGACAAATATTCAGTTCTATGCCGTGTTGCCTTGAAAGTGAAAGCATTATTCAGTTCAACCTATTTGTGTGAATCTTCTTTTTCCAATATGAAGTTTGTTAAGAACAAATATCGCAATCGACTTACATATGAACATTTGGATAATTGTATTCGAATGGCTGTATCAAATTATACTGCAAACATTAAAAAAATTATCGATGAGTCTGAGTGTCAGCCTTCTCATTGAACGTGCTTTTTTATTTTTCAATGTTTATGTTCATGATAGTGCGTTACTTTTTTGATGTTATTATTAACTATTTTTAAATCTTACGTGACATGCCGTTGTGGCTGGATAAAAGTTTGTGTTTATTTTTCAAACACCTTCGTTTGGTTGGTAGAAATGTAGCTATGAACAAGTACGTACTAGTAATATTAGTTATTTTGTTATTAGTTTATTATTAGTACCTATGTATTATGTATTACCAGTTAAATAGTAAAATAAATATATATAATGATAAATTAACTGTGGATTATTTCATTTACGTTGCGTTACGTGGCTTCCGTTGGGTAGCTCGCTGTTTATTCCAAAATTAACAAAGTAGCTCAACACATTGAGAGGTTGGCGACCACTGGCTTAGATCATGCACCATCAATAATTCTTGCATCTGTAAGTCCGCCATATTTGCAGATCTGCAAAGTTGCAGACGTGGTGCATTTTCTGTAATCTTACCCTTAGTTTATTTTCTAAAGCATTCTTTTTAATTAAAATTTACTACTAAAGAAAAATTAATTTAAAAAATTACTTTTATTAAAGTTTTTTTTAGTATGTAAAGAATATTTTTTACAGTGAATGGATCTTTTTATAAAAAAATAGGTCTAATTCTCTCGGTGAACTAAATAAAATGCGGCTTAATAAAAAACACCGTCTGTTTCATTTTCCCCAATAATCTCAACTTTCCAAATTCCCTTTGATACAAAAAATCCCTCCTCGCCGACGATTGTGGCGTGCGCTAACAGTTTTTTTTATATCTTCTTTTTTTTTTTCAGAACCGAACTTCGTTGGCTCCTTCGATATCGGCGACTACGTTTTGTTTTTCTTCAGAGAAACCGCCGTGGAGTACATAAACTGCGGCAAGAGCGTGTATTCGAGAGTGGCTCGCGTCTGTAAAAAGGACACCGGAGGAAAGAATATCTTATCGCAGAACTGGGCTACTTATCTCAAAGCCAGACTCAACTGTTCCATTCCCGGAGAATTCCCGTTTTATTTCAATGAGATCCGTAAGTATTGCTCGTTGCTTTCTCCGCATGGATCGCTATGGTGGATTATAATCAAAGGGATGTCTGTCTAGAACTCGAGGTCATTTTATTATATTCCACTTAAACTTCTAAAAAATAGTACAAAGTTTAATAGTTTCATTATAAGTTTTTTAGAATATATTTTAAATAATTATTATATATTTGTAGCTATAAATAATTACTAAATACGCCTCTGTGCAAGCGTGAGCCCTTAGTAACAAAGTATTATTTGAAACGCAGCCATACTGGAGCTAACTTTGCAGTAATCATTTTAGTTCAATATTGCTCACATAGTTATTTAGTTTTCAAGTAAAATAAATTAGTTTTGTCGAGTGGATACGATTAATAAGTGTGCAGTGCAGTTTTTAATCATAAAATAAGTAAAACACGTGTACTCTTTGGATTCTAGTGAGTAAAAAAAAACAAAACATTTTAAACATATCAATATTAGGCTAATTGATTTGTTCATTCCACCAAAACCTTACATTTGCTTTGTTTCCCAAAAGCCTCCAATCTATTATTGTGTGGTCGGCCTTAGTTTCTCAAGTGTGCAATTTAAGGAGCTCTGGGACATATGTATGGTATATTAAAAACTTACATTACATAAAATTAAGTTAGCAAAATTATAACCTACAAAAATCAACAAAGCAAAGTTTAAAACAAAAAAGTAGCGAATAAAAAATTAAACTAAAGGATACCATACACTGTTAAACCGTTTAGTAGATTAGCTGAAAGTGTTGTTCATGGTCCTTCGAACCAGATTTTCAAGAAAATAATCTTACGTCACTTCAAGAAAAATCAGTCCACTTTATCTGACTTAAAAATATCATTTTTAATTAGTTTTTTGAATGGAGATTTTCCAAGGGTCACACATATTTTGAATCATAAACTACATTCCGTAAGAAACGGGTTGTGACTATTTTAAAATAAATATATATTATTTAGAAATAAATACATTATTTTACTTACACTAGGAGCTTTAAAAAGGCTTGGATTTTTATCTCCTTGTGATTTCTTTAATTTAAATCGGATTTATATCCCGTTTTGCAACCGGGCACGAAGAAAATCCTGCTTTGTCGTTTTTTGTTACTCATTGTTACTTGTAGTCAGGTTCTTTATTTCAACTTATTTTTATTCTTTTCATTAAACTTTACAAAAATCACTTTAATTCCCATTGACTTGCATAGAAAATAGACGTCGTTATTTTGCCACCCGCCAACTACAGTACTTTTTTGGAACTCCATAAAAATAGGGACGGAAATTTGAAATTTGACCAAGGCCGATTCGCCTCCTTATCTCTAGTCTTCATACTCTATACCTACCATGTCAAAAAGTGACGTTGAGGTTAGTATGGGATTAAATCGAAGAACTAAAAAGAGTGGGAGATCGAAATAAAGTTAAAATTTTTGAATGCAAGGTCATCAAAGGATAGAGGACAATAATGGCTGATGAATTTGTACAGTTGTACAGTTCGAGGTCTCATAAAAGACTGGGTTTGGAGAAAACACATTAATTATTGGGTAAATGTCCCAAAACAAGCATATGGGAAAACATTTACATAAAGACCATATAAGAAAAACAGAAGAACTACTATCTATGAACCTACCTGTTAAAAATAACACAGGTTGTCAATCATAGTGAAGAAAGTCTAAAATTTCAAGGAAGAGTATTTCTTTTAAGGCTGCTTGCTATCAGAGTATATGGCAGTAGTTTTGCAGTATTTAATGGCTATTACATCATCCTGGAACACTTGCATAGGCTTCTACACTCTACTCTACTCGAGTTCGTAAGTTCCAGCACATATTTTTTTGTTGGTCTTTGAAACGTCGATCCAGTACCGTACCAGGAGAGTTAAACCTCTACGAAAGTAACCTGCATAGCTAGAATTTGAAATTGAAAATTTCGTGCAAATTTGCATATGGTTGACACATCAAGGTGGAATCTATCCAACTTCTAAACACCGGTAACTAAATTTGGCGACTTGAAGAAGAAGAAGAAGAAGAAGAAGAAAGAAAAATAAAAACAGTATTTGTCACAAAAAATTAACATCAATAAAGTGAAAATTTGATATGGAGATCTTATTTGTTGGCCATAGTATACAGAGTCTACAAATAAAAACAGGCGTTGCGGTTATGTTATCATTTGCTTGTTAGATTTTTAATGTTTCCGTAAATCTTAAGTAAAAAAGTTGAAATTATTGGTCTTTCGATGATTTAGTTTCCTAAAACCACTTTCATCAAATCGATGACACTGGATAAGAAACTACAATACTTTTAGCAGTTCAGCAATGCTTATACATCCAATCTTTTAAGAAGTATCTGGATGTTTTGTTATTTTTATTCATTTTGGAGAAATCAATTCCTATCTACATCATTGTTTATTATTAATACCAATAACTCTTTCAGAGAGCATCTACAAGGTTCCAGGCGACGATAACCGCTTCTACGGTACCTTCACCACCTCCACCAACGGCCTAATGGGTTCGGCGATATGCTCCTTCACCCTTCCAGACATCCAAATGGCGTTCAGCGGGAAATTCAAAGAGCAAGCCTCCTCCTCGTCGGCCTGGCTTCCCGTTTTATCAAGTAGAGTTCCCGAACCGCGACCGGGAACTTGCGTCAACGATACCGAAACATTACCCGACACCGTATTGAATTTCATCAGAAGTCATCCCCTAATGGATTCCGCTGTAATGCACGAAAATGAAAAGCCCGTGTTCTTTAAAAGGGACGTTTTCTTCACCAGATTGGTCGTGGATAAGATCAAAGTTGATATTGGTGGAGCGGTTTTGGATTATACTGTATATTATGCTGGAACGAGTAAGTACTAGTTAATAATTGTAAACGTTTTAAACACTTATAAACCTAAATTTTGATTTATTTTCGTTTTTACAAATTGCCCGCCTGATCTTTTTGGTTCCACCTAGGTACTACAGCGCACTTTGATTTTGCTTACTAAGAACACTACTTGAATTCTTATTCTCTTCATAACCAACTTTATTGTATACTGGTGAAATCTATAGCATTTGTTAATTCTATTAGAAACTGGAATTGAGAACCTATCAATTTCTTGCTGAAGAGTCCTAATAAGGACGAAACCGGTCCAAGAATGATGTTCTCCTTAGTGAGCAACATTAAAGGTAGAGAGTGTTGGAATTTAATTTCTATCTCTACTGTCTTTCCTTCGGATATAATTCAATATCTGTTGCGGTATTATCCAAAGGAGTAGTTGTTTTCTGAAGGGAAACGGTCGTTGGTATTTTATGTGATATTGGCTTTGAGTTTTATTCATTTTATTTTACATTTGAGTTTGATTTACTTTCGTTTTTCCTAAATTATTTCTTTACTTCTTCTTATTGTATTTTTCCATAGATGACGGTAGAGTGCACAAAATCGTCGAATGGGCTCGCGATGAAGATTCCGCATCCATTCTTTTAGATGTTTTTGACGTCACCCCGGGCGAACCAATCCAAGTCATGGAACTCTCCAAAACTCACAAAGCGCTCTACGTAGCTTCAGATCACAGAGTTAAACAAGTCGATTTGGTTATGTGCAACAGAAGATACGACAACTGCTTGAGATGCGTGCACGATCCTTACTGCGGATGGGATAAAGATTTGAACGTTTGCAAGCCTTATTCTCCAGGGTAAATATTTATTTTTTCCCCGCCATTTTATTTTAATCTTTTATTACTAAATTATACTTTTAAAACCTCACTTAAGTCTTTCCTATGCTCCTAGCCTTCTTCAAGATGTCTCGAACAGCACGCACGACGTTTGTGACAGCAGCGTGGTTAAGAAGAAGATGGTGGTTACCTGGGGACAGTCGCTCCACTTGGGTTGCTTTCTCAAAATGCCAGCAGTGCTCTCCACCCAAACCATCACCTGGTTTCACTATTCCAAAGAAAAGGGACGCTACAAAATCATGTACAGACCAGACAAATACGTCGAAACCTCGGAACACGGTTTAGTGATCATAGCTGTGACCGAAGGTGACGCAGGCAGATACGATTGTTGGATGGGCGCTTCGTTGTTGTGTTCTTTCAATGTAACCGTCGACGCTCATCGGTGTTCACCGCCCGCCAAAAGTAACGATTATCAGAAAATATACTCCGACTGGTGTCACGAGTTCGAGAAGTATAAGTCTGCCATGAAGACGTGGGAGAAAAAGCAAGCAGTAAGTTAAACTTGTATTTTAAAGCAGTAACATTCGGGCTCATAGATATTTGGCGCCCAACGTGGGGCTGTCATCGTCTTATAGATATATATTTTTTGTCCAATTGATGCCTTTCTCTTTTTTCCAGCAATGTTCGACACGACAAAACGCCAGCAACCAGAACAGCCATCCAAATGAAATATACCGGCCGTTGGTGTGATAGCTCATCGAACGCGGGCCATTGGCACTTACCTATTTAGGAATACCCCTGTATTGGACTCTCGTTTTATTCGTGTAAATATTTCATCTTTTCGAGAGACTGTTACTGCATACTACTCCAAATAAATTTATATTATTTAATTTAAAAAAAAATGCGTCGAAAAACTATATCGGTGCTTCACAGGTAGCTATTCAATTATCTAACAAGATATACTCCGATTTCAAATATAAATTAATGTAATCGTTTAACAAACACTTGAACAGGGTTGACAGCATACATAAGACAATTGACAGTTTTGTAAAGACAAGTGACAACTTACTTTTACAAGTAAAAATGATCAATCATTTACAAAAATTAATAAAATTGACTAGTACCCGATCAATTTTTAGCTGGCATTTGCCATTTGTCAAATGTCATATATCAAGTATTAAACGTTAACTGTCATCTGTCAAGTGGTAACTCTACGTGTGTCCTTTTATTCAACTATTCTAACAACGTTGGGATCTTTCTGTTTTTTTATCAATGATGGACTATCAGAAATTTTGACAAATTAAGATACCTTGACGCCGTTTTCTTAAAACTGGAATTTCAGTAACCCAAAATGATTCTTTTATATCAGTTATAAAAAAAATAATCAATTATTTACAAAAACTGTATAATAACCGTACCCGATCAATTTTTATCTGTCATTTGTCATATGTCATCTATCAAGTATTAAGTGGTAACTGTCATTTGTCAAGTGTTAGAGCAATGTTGTTATCTAGATGTCTTTTTTTCATGAATCTATTAATGATGAACTAACAAAGTTGTCATTTTATTCAACGTTGTTGCAATAGATATAACATCAATCCATCAGTTTCAGTACATGTTTTTTTCCGATTAGCTGTGACAAATGACAACTGAATTGACAGAATTAATTATTAATGTGTTCTATTGAAAGAAAAAACTAAAACACGGCTTTTACTTTCAAATTAAGGTAAATATATATTTAATTAAAACTATAAACATACATATTAATCAACATACAAGAACTGTCAATTGTCATTTATTTCAACGATCAATCACAAATAAGACGAATCCAACACAAATTTTGAGTAAGTTTAATTAATTTTAAGTAATTGTGAGTAATTTTGAATAATTTTAAGTAATTTTGAGTAATTTTGAGTACATTCGAGTAATTTTGAGTCATTTTGAGTTGCTGCAATAGATGTACCATCACTCCGTCAGTTTCAGTACATGTTTTTTCCGATTAGCTGTGACAAATGACAACTGAATTGACAGAATTAATTATTAATGTGTTCTATTGAAAGAAAAACTAAAACACGGCTTTTACTTTCAAATTAAGGTAAATATATATTAAATTAAAACTATAAACATACATATTAATCAACAATCAACATACAAGAACTGTCAATTGTCATTTCTTTCAACGATCAAACACAAATAAGACGAATCCAACACAAACTGTTCACGGTTTTACCGGTAAAACAGCGATCAGGACACACGGTGTGCTACATGTTATCCTTCAACTGTCAAATGTCAATTGGCTTTGTTGTTAAACTTATATGGTAATTAAGTTATTTATTTGTGTTTTATTTAGGGCTCGGGGATTATCAAAATAATCGATTATTTTCGATTGAATTTTCGATTATTTAATTAATCCAGTATTTTAGATTATTTTGGCTTAATGGATTGTTTTCGAGTAAACAAGAGATCGATTTTTCCATTAATCAGTTATTTTCAAATATTCAGTTATTCAGAAAATCTATTTATTCTTTTCGATTCATCGTTGAATTGATTATATCCGAATAATCAGATAATCGATTATTAGATTATTCGATAATATCTAATTGATTTTTTATCTTATATTCAACAAATTTATAGATTATAATAAGTGAATATGGTTTTATAATATCGAATAATCGAACACATTTATTGGAAAAATTAGTTTTGCTTATACCAGTGTGAGCTAAAAGAAACATTTTTGTACTTTTTGTGCACCCTGTTTTTTTAATTTAACCCAAAATTTTGCATTATTAAAATTTGTTTTCTATACAAAAACTTTACAGATTGAAAGAAAATATGTCCTTTAAAATCGATTATACGATTATTCAGTATTATCTTTAAAAAATCGAAAATAATCATACAATCATAAATAATCGATTAATCTAAAAATCGCTTAATTGATTTCGCCAAAAAATCGTATAATCGATTAATAATCGGTTAATAATCGATTAATAATCGGTTAATAATCGATTAATAATCGGTTAATAATCGGTTAATAATCGATTAATACTCGATTACTAGTTTATTGTACCCTGTAAATTCAAATCGTTACTAAAAGAAGCACCGCATGTTTTTCGAAAATTTTCAATGTCCATTATCAAAATATTCGGAGTAGTATGAGCGGATCGCGGATCAGCGGAAGTGCCCCCATTTCGAGCTGGACGCCATCTTGATCGTTTCCTCCCCCCCCCCTCCAAAATAGTGCTTGGATTTTTGTGCTTTTTTTTTTCTTTTTCATTGTCTCTTTCGATAAAAGAACTTTTTAACCTTTGATCGCCTTCGTTTTTCAGTTTTTTGAGTTGATTCGGCCCGATTTTTTGATGTTCCAAACGATGACGTATATATAGCGCTTTTGTTGAGAAACTTTTTGAATTTTAATGATATATTGGATAACTTTGGGCGGGAATACGTACGATTCACGGGAAAACGGTTTTAATTACAAATTCAATTTCTTTTAGTATTTGAAATAAATTGTAATTTTTAAAATAGTTATTAAGTAGTGGGGAAAAGGATCTAGGCATTTTTCTTGTGGAAAAATGACACTTCGTCAAATTGCCTGAATTGTTGTTATGTTGTAAATCTCGAGGTACAGGGTGTTAAACTTTTTTTAAACATTATTTCTCATAACAAACTTGTTTTATATATTTGTTGTATAAAACATAAATTATAGATTATTTGGCACTAATATTTTTTTAAATTACTTTAAAAAATGGATAGTTACAGGGTGGATCTAAAAGACGTAAAGTTTTTTTAATATTTTTTTTAAAAATATCAATACGTTATATAGTTTTTAAATATTTTTTTAAAAATGTAACCTCAATTCTCATTGCAACATAAAAATGTAGTTTAAGTAATGATTTCTTGGGTATACATCATAATATGTTATACAGGGTGACTCATAAATGTGGTTACAGCTTTAACCAGTCACTCAGTATAAACGATGATGGTAATTAAGATGAAGCATGTAATAATAATTGATTCCTTCAAAAATTTGACAAAATCAAAAATACACGATTGACATTAATTGAAATTTTAAGAAACTTTAAGAAATTTTAAGAAATTTTAAGAAATTTTAAGAAATTTTAAGAAATTTTAAGAAATTTTAAGAAATTTTAAGAAATTTTAAGAAATTTTAAGAAATTTTAAGAAATTTTAAGAAATTTTAAGAAATTTTAAGAAATTTTAAGAAATTTTAAGAAATTTTAAGAAATTTTAAGAAATTTTAAGAAATTTTAAGAAATTTTAAGAAATTTTAAGAAATTTTAAGAAATTTTAAGAAATTTTAAGAAATTTTAAGAAATTTTAAGAAATTTTAAGAAATTTTAAGAAATTTTAAGAAATTTTAAGAAATTTTAAGAAATTTTAAGAAATTTTAAGAAATTTTAAGAAATTTTAAGAAATTTTAAGAAATTTTAAGAAATTTTAAGAAATTTTAAGAAATTTTAAGAAATTTTAAGAAATTTTAAGAAATTTTAAGAAATTTTAAGAAATTTTAAGAAATTTTAAGAAATTTTAAGAAATTTTAAGAAATTTTAAGAAATTTTAAGAAATTTTAAGAAATTTTAAGAAATTTTAAGAAATTTTAAGAAATTTTAAGAAATTTTAAGAAATTTTAAGAAATTTTAAGAAATTTTAAGAAATTTTAAGAAATTTTAAGAAATTTTAAGAAATTTTAAGAAATTTTAAGAAATTTTAAGAAATTTTAAGAAATTTTAAGAAATTTTAAGAAATTTTAAGAAATTTTAAGAAATTTTAAGAAATTTTAAGAAATTTTAACAAATTTTAACAAATTTTAAGAAATTTTAAGAAATTTTAAGAAATTTTAAGAAATTTTAAGAAATTTTAAGAAATTTTAAGAAATTTTAAGAAATTTTAAGAAATTTTAAGAAATTTTAAGAAATTTTAAGAAATTTTAAGAAATTTTAAGAAATTTTAAGAAATTTTAAGAAATTTTGAGAAATTTTGAGAAATTTTAGGAAATTTTGAGAAATTTTAGGAAATTTTGAGAAATTTTAAAAAATGTCAAAAGTGCCATTTTCTACCCTTTTATTTTACAGTGTTATTTGTGGAGATATTAAAAAACTAAAAGAATTTCTTTTTATGCAATTTTTCTTTAAAATATGGCTTAGCTAACATCTTCTATGACCATATTTACTCCATTCTTCTAACTAATGAGAAGTAATATTTCTCACCCTAGATAATGATAAAAAGCAACTAGGTAAATATTGAAATTGAATTCCATTAGTTTCATTTTGTTAATTTGACAACTAAACTCCCAAACTACTTGAGATTTCGAAATATTTGATAATTAAGTAGGAAGAAACACCAGATGGAGTTACAAAATATTCCAGGGGTCAAAGTGTTCTTGGCACTTTTTGTTTCTACAACATACCATAAAACATTTCATACAATAACATAAGAAAAGTGACTGGTCCTTTAAATATACTACACTGCCCGACAAAATTAATGTGCCAACCAGAAATAATGTTTCAATAGTTTGAGGTTAGTTTTTATCAAAATTGTTAAATTTTTTTATTGTATGTTGATGCTGAATTTTAGTTTGCAGAAACAGTATATACAGGGTGGCCACTTTTTAATTTAAATGTATTGCTATCTTTCAAATGGAAAATAAGTTGTATTTTTCGAAAGTTAACTGTATTCTACTGCAGTTCATTTAATTTCAAAAATAGAGAGAAGCTTATGTAAGGTTTTTT